CGACCCTCAGATTGCAAGTCAAGCGCCGTCACCACCTGGCCATGCTGGGCAACTACCTTTAAGCGTTTGTCTCAGGTTAAGCACAAAGCTACACAGTGGGCTATTGAAACCCGACTTATAGTGTCATAAGCCCAAAAGCTTACCGCTAAATCATTGCGGGGGGGGGGGCACCTCTAAGGGTTAAACGACATTTCCATGTTACGTCCATCTCTATGAAGTTTCAAATAAGTATTTTTTTTTCCTCAAAAGATGACTTCATTTCATCCAAATTTTACTTCAACGTCAAAGAACTTCCAGCCACTTATCTTTCATTATTCTTTTTTTTACGCTATCGTAGACCAATCAATGTAAGTGCAGTATATGGTCGTTTCTGATATTTGATACCTTAACGACACTATGTACTCTAGTGAATGTTTCCAAAATTTTCTTTTTTTTTTGGCTTCTAGAACCACCAATTAGCACACCCAACTGTCCACGACTGTACGGTTTATTTGACGATTCTTCCAATTGCCGAGTATTTTACTCCTGCTGGAATGGAGAAGCTTCCAGATTCGAGTGTCCACCAGGTCTGGCTTACGACACCGAACAGAGGGTGTGTGTGTGGGCTGATCTCGTAAGTCGTTGCAATCAGCTAGGTAAGACATCTTTTTTTTTTTTAATCAACATCAATTAATACTTTACAATAGAAGTGCTGTTGTTATTTCAGTTCATGCACAAAGTAACTTTTTGGTGGCGTTTAAGAAAAAAACAACAACATCACCCAATTAATAAATTTATTTTAAGAAATACGAGGTTAATATCTTCACCGTAGCCATTTGGCTAGAAAAGAAATATTACTGTATTCTAAGAGATTAAGACAATATTTGTAATCGGTATTAAGCCACAGGAACGCAACATCACATTAAGGATTACGAGTGTGGTAATCCCATTTTTTGCGTCTCTCGCGAGCAGGATTGAACCCCGGACCTCTTACATGACACACAAGTACTCTATTAACTGAGATAAATAGCTAATTAACTCACTCCTACACAAGTGTGATGAACTGACACTTCCTAACGCACTTCGTGATGCACCTGTTTAGGAGTCAGTATTTTCACTTAACTTTTTATTGAAACAAAATCTAAGCTTTACAAGATGCCGTTTCAGTCCCAGGGAAGAGGGAGTTAGGTGGATCAGGCTTCTTCAAAAATTCCCATCGCCCCCTCAGTTGTTATTCGCAGTCTTAGTGGTATTTTTATACTAAAAATACAGTGTTATATCAGACAGAAGAACTACTTTTTAAAATAAAGCGTTGTATCATATAAAAAATACTTTCCAAAATAAAGCGTTGTATCATTTAAAAAAACTACTTTCCATGTTGTGTGAAACGTAAGTTAGCTAATGTATGGGTTGAAAACTCGGAAGAAACAGCATGCACGTAGAAAAGCCTCAGAATTAAGATTTAAACGATTCTTCATCCAAGTTCTTTTAGTTTTTTTTTAATCTGACGTCGAACCAATGGCACAACTAGATTTCAAGGATCCCGTAGGGAAAAATTACATGGGGGTGTCTTTAACCTCTGTTGTTAACAGCTGTAGAGCCCCCAAGAGGCTGAGGTTGGGGTCATGGACTTGGCACAACTAGTAAGGTAGGTTTGTTTGCTTTGTTGAGTATCGTGGAATTGCATATGAAAACTACCTGCGCTAGCCATATCTTATTTTGTAGTGAAAGGGGCAGGCAGCTAGTCAACAACACCAACTGAAAACTTTAGAGGTCAAATGGTGGGATTTAACCGTCACTCTTTTAATATACACACGGCCTTGACACGCGAAGCGCCTATTTTTTTTTGTTTCTTTCTTTTTATAACAATAGAAATTGAGCCAGTGAACTTCTGCTGACAAACTAAGCCATAGATCCGCGCTGGATCCAGTAAGATATATAGTTGCGCCCATCATTGGAACACAAATCCAGTTACATTCAATGATAATGGAAACTGGAGCATTTCGTGTTTCTGTTCTCATTCAGTATTCTTACAAATAACTGGAAAATTGGCACATACAATATTTCAGCCGTTTTCTAAGTTATATTTTATACGTGACAACAATGTTTTACTCTTTTAAACAGAAGTAGCAGAAGGCTTTGTTTGTCCTGATCCGGCCGAGGTGTCCAATCAGCCAGGAGTCTTCACACGTCACGCCCATCCTACAGACTGCAGGGGATTTTTTATCTGTATTGAAGGAGTTGCACGGGCTTATGGATGCGGTATTGAAACGGTTTTCAATGCAGGCACCTTACAGTGTGATGACCCTAAGAACGTGCCAGGATGGTGAGTCGTTACTTATTACTTCAAGAAGTTATTTTCAAAGTGTATTTTTTTTTTTTTACAGTTTTTGTTTGTTTTGAATTTCGCGCAAAGCTACACGAGGGCTATCTGCGCTAGCCGTCCCTAATTTAGCAGTGTAAGACTAGAGGGAAGGCAGCTAGTCAACACCACCCCCGCCAACTCTTGGGCTACTCTTTTATCAACGAATAATGGGATTTTACAGTTTTGCTACCACCGTCTAAACAATTGACAGATAAATAGATAGCCAAAAAAAAAACCCGATTGTGAAAAAATAAATTTCTTGTATTTATTAGTTTTTTTTTTCGACCAATATTTCCCTGGTATTTTATACATATAATTCTCCCAGATATGTTTCTTCGAACAACAACAACAAGAGCAATAAAAGAGATTGCATACCCTCGTCGTCCCGCCGCTCCTTTTCGAGATTGCATTCGTCTGAAATGGATAACGTAACATCTCACCTTCGAAAACTCGGTAAATCCTTTTCAAATCTAGAATGATCAACGATCCGGATCAATTTCATTTTTTGTAGGGTGATGACGAGCCCGGGAAATTTAGTACAAATCTGATCACACTTGACATAGTTATGAACCCCAAACCGCGGAAATACTTTGTCATGCTGACTTCCCATCTTATTTAAAATTTTCGTGTAAATAGGTCTTTTAGTTTTCAAGATACACAGACAGACAGAAAAAACGGACCCAATTGTAATACCACCGTAGGCGAGGCTAACACAAAATAATTGTCCTGTTTATTAAGTATTCATATTTCACAATTTATTAATTCTTCTACTATACACTAGATGGCAGTAAAATAGAACTCATCTATTTTTAGATTTATCGAAAAATTCAAATTTTCAAGCCAACGACCTAGAAGTTCAAAACATGTCATGATGTAATATGTCGCTACAGTATATTGTAACAACGATTAGCTAATATTCTTGATTATATAATTTTCAAACGTTTCTAAACATAGTTTCAAAGTAAACAATTACCGTAATACAGGTGAAAATCTCAATGGTATCCCCCATGATTTTAAACTTTATTCTCCCATAAGCCCCTTTGCGTGCACGTTTTTACATTGTTTCCCATTAATTTTTTATTAATTTCTTGCTCATTATTGTTGTTAGTATATTTGAAATATTAAAGCAAATATTACTACTATACTGATTTCCTTTGTTTCTCGATTAAGTTTAAAATTATGCTTTTTTTATCGTGATCATTTTTATTGTACCGATACTTTTAATTTATAATCGAAAATAAGGCTAAGTAAATAAAACATTATTGGCGTTTTCAACGCACCAGAACCAGTAAGGCATTATCCCCACTAATACTTTTGTTCCCCTATTGTATTCGACAATGTCTCGAACCCCAGTTGGCGTCTTGAAAAAATCGGAATAGAAAACCATGAGCGATATAATATTTAAACGCCGAAAATTCCCGCGCACCAAATCTTTTAAGCACCTAGCGGCGCCTCTGGTTAAGCCTCATCAATTGTACCCGACTTTCAAATATTGCCGCTGTCAGATTGGTTTTGAGCCAAGCGATGGCGCTGTTTCTTGCTAGTTTTTGTTGTAAGCGCTCATTTACACACACATATGCATTTTTATTGGTCATAAGACGAAAATATAATTAACCACATAGGCGACAAAGACACACAAATTAAAAAAAAACATGTTACAAAATCGCCAAGTTTTATATATATATTTCTGGAAGATAACCTTTAAGACTAGTGATCGTAAAACTTCGAACAAAAGCACACGCGCACAATTTGAAAATTGCATGGCCAGCATTTTGAACGTTGAGTTACAGATTTCTTTTAAGAATAAATATTATGAGCCATAAAAATTGAACGAATAAAGAAAATAAGATACGAAAATAAATTTTTTTCTATAGTTACTCATCCTTCTTGGCTGTAATTTATTGATTAAATAAATAAATAAAATTGTGGAAAAAGTGAAATTCTGTAAGAAAGAAAATCGTTAATTTAAACCATAGCTTCCAGACTGTAGATTAACTTTCTTTCTTGTCGTTTTATAAATATCTGTTAAAATAGGTACGAGTCCCAGAATCTAAAAGTCCTCAACTGTACAGTTGTTATTATGTTTACCCATAAGTATATCTTGGTTCTGCAGTTTTAACATGGTTTATATGTTCATGATTTTTGTGCACCAAGTCGGAGGCCTGTGTGTCCAGTGTACATACATTCAATAGCGCATGTAACGACACATCGTAGATCTACTGTATTTATTAAGCGCATGTAACGACACATCGTAGATCTACTGTATTTATTAAGCGCATGTAACAACACATCGTAGATCTACTGTATTTATTAAGCGCATGTAATGACACATCGTAGATCTACTGTATTTATTAAGCGCATGTAATGACACATCGTAGATCTACTGTATTTATTAAGCGCATGTAATGACACATCGTAGATCTACTGTATTTATTAAGCGCATGTAACGACACATCGTAGATCTACTGTATTTATTAAGCGCATGTAACGACACATCGTAGATCTACTGTATTTATTAAGCATACGATTTTCGGAGTATCCAGCAAAAAGAGGCTGAAAAATGTGGGGCACATTATTGTACCTTAGCGTCCTCGTAGATCTGTTTGTGAAGGTTGAAATCGTGTTTTAGTGGAACGCTTCTGAAGAAGCTGTGCCCAATTAAAGAAAATTAACAAACATGGTATTATAAGGTCGTTTATTACCAGTATTAAGATGTTATTAGGTTGTTGAAGTCGGGATCAGAAGAATAAAATATTGTTTGTTTCAGAGCAAGGCCACACTGGGCTATCTTCTGTATCCATCACGTGGAATCGAACCCTGAATTTTAGCGTTACAAGTTCGTAGTCTTGCCGCTGTCCCATCCAGGGACCATTGTTCTTTTAAAGCTTCAGTTATATATACATTTTTTTACGCTAAACTACGAAGGTCCCACCTTTGTCTGCTGGTCTTCTGACAATGTCGTTTCTTTGTCACAAGTTATTTGAGGCTAAATTTGTACCTTAAAGTTCAAAATGGTGGACACACAATTTATAAATTGTACGCATGCTCTTTTGTTCCAAGCTTTCCAATCTGACAAAGAGCGCTAGCTTGAAACGTCATGTTTCAGTAAT